GGGTCCGTCAGTCCCGGCCTCCCCGGCCTCGTTCAGCTGATGCCCACCTGAGGGCTGGCAGGGCCAAGGCGAAGCCAAGTCCTTTGTGCCTTTGGTTGTGGCGATGGTCCTGGGGACTGACCCCGGGGGCCCCTTGCCACCGAGCCGCATCCCCAGCCCTGATGATTCTTTATTTTGAGACAGGGTCTCCCTGGATTAAGTTACTGAGGCTGGCCTTGAACTTGCGGTCCTCCTACCTCAGCCTCCTGATGGCCGGGGTCCCAGGGGTGCACCAGCCGCTGCTCCTGCAAAGCCCTTCCTCCCTGGGGGTCCCTGGGTGCGTCATGGACCTCACTGCGGAGGCTCCTGTCCGTCCCCTCTAGTGCGGTCTCAGCCACCCTGGGTGCCCGGTCTGCTTCTCCTGCCTGGTCCACTCCAGGCCCTGCCGCCCGTTGCCTGAGGCTGTGCCCCGGGTCCTGAGCTCTTGCCGTTGTCCCAACCTGGCAACCTGATGTGACCACTAAGTTGCCTGGGGACATTTCCATCTTGCCTCCGGGACACTCTGACCCCAGGAAACCCTTCTCTGGAGCAAGGAGGCAGACCTCCTCAGGCAGCCCGGGAGGGTCACCATGGAGAGAGGCCGCATCGCCCACTGGGCAGAGCAGAGGACGGAGCGGAGCCGTTTGTACTCAGGGCCTTCCGTGGTTCTGGGGACGGGAGGGCGTGGCGGAGTTAAGACCCAGACCTCCTGACGTCCTGGCCCTGACACCCGCAGGCTGCACGGCCCTGGGCAGTTTCCTGACCGCAGCGGGGAACCTGCTAAAGGCACGTGGGTCGGACAACCCTCCGCGGCTCACGGTGCGTGGTGACCGGCCCCCGGCGTCGGCCTTGACGGCGGTGTCAGGGAGCCTCGCGGAGACGCTTGTTTCTCAACCTCATTTAATGGAGCTGACCCAGAAGACGGGCAGCGAAGGACTTGTCCTCTGTCAGAGACCGGCTGGGGACCCGCCAGGCAGACCAGAGGGATTCCCAGGTGATCAGGGGACAGGGGGGAAGGGCAGCACCAAGGACAGCCCCTGTCACCACAGTGACCTTTTCCTCTTCTAACGGGTGATGAGCCAGTAACCTGTCTGTCCACTGCTGACCCTCGCATGCTCCAGGCCCCAGGATGCTGGGTCATCGAGGCCTTGTCCCCAGGAGCCACAGGGGGACTGTGAGCCCCGAGTCTGCCCTGCCCCCGCTGTGCTCGGTGGGACTAGGGGACGCTGCCTCTTTCCCTGTGGTTCGTGTCCCCCGGGACCTGTCGGGCTCTGGAGACTGGGCCTGTGGTCCTCTGAGGACGAGGGTGTGGGTCCCGGGGCGAGCAGATGGCACCTCCGTCCTGTGTCCACCAGGGATAAGATGTTTCCATCGGAAGCTCCCGGGGACACCACGCGTGACCTCCAGGTCCTGGATGAGTCCTCGAACCCCAGGCCTGTCCGCTCTCGCCAATGTCCCTCTGTCATCCTCCCCTCGAAGCCCCGCCCACCGGCTCCGGTCACCGAGGCAGCTGGGGATGTGACCAGATGTGACCGAATTCCGTCCCCGTCCCCATGTGTTACGGCCTGGCTCTCGTTCCCTGGAGGGTCCACTTTGCAGAGCTTGGGGAGTGGCCCGGCCAGACCCCTCCACCGGTCACCTGTCCCTCTGGCCTCCACCGAGGACAGGCGAGGCAGGGGCCCAGGGAGAAGGTGCTGGGCCTCGCTTCCGACCTGCAG